AATTAATGGGATAAATTAGGGGAAGTCATGTAAGGCACCCAACTACTTTCTCAAGCTAGAGGGATTACTTGAATCATGAATACAACCTACTCTCGTGGTTACAAAGCATAAAACAAGTGTTAAAGCATAATCACGATGACATAAACATTCCCTTGACCGGAAATTCCTATTCTCATGGCATTTCGGGTCCATCAAGCATAAGGGAGCTACCTCAAGTTCATCTCTCGATCCTTCGTTGAGGAAGCTTGGATAAATAGTTCTAGCAATGGCCATATGCGAGAACTAAGCAATTAAACCACTTAAGGTCAACTAATTAACATCCCACAACAACCAAATTAGCACATGCAACAAGTAATTAGTGACTACATTGAGGGTTTTACCCAAACCCTAGAAATTGGACTACTCACAATCCATGGAGATTAAAGCAATTAAAGATTTCAAGCAATTCATGAACAAGTTCAAACTAAGGATTAAGCTAATTAACAATCTAAACATGCAAGAACTAGCAAATAATTAACAACAAAGTAAAGAGAAGTAGAAAAGATGAGTAAGAAATGGTTACTATGAAGCTTCAAGGTGAGCAACAATGGTGGATTTTGTCTTCTACAATGATTGAATTTGAATAATTCCAAGCTAATAATTAAGAACTAACTAATGATTTGAGAATTTAATGTTCTAAGATTGCAAAACTAAGAGAAAGCTCTAAAAACCTTGCTTGTTCGTACAAATGAGCCAAAAGGGGGTATTTATAAGACCCCCAAATAAAAAGGACGGAAAAAACAAGAGTTGGGCTTGACTGCAGGTCTGCACGGACGTGCCAGGTTTGGCACGGACGTGCAGACCAAGCTGCACGGACGTGCTGCCTTATGCACGGTCGTGCAGGGCATGGCAGAAGCTACTGCTTAGGCTTGAAATATTGCACGGACGTGCCAGTTATGGCACGGACGTGCAGCCTCTTCTGCACGGACGTGCCAACTTAAGCACGATCGTGCAGGCCTTAGCAGAATGTTGCAACTTTCTGGAGCACTCCTGCACGGACGTGCAAGGTCTAGCACGGCCGTGCAGGGTCTTCTAAGCCCTTTTTCCATCTTTTCTTCTACATTGCTCCTTTTCTTGGCTTCTTTCTACCACCTTCTTGCTTCTAACCTCGGTTTTGTATCCATGGGCTTAATTTGGTCGTCTTTGAACCTAGAATCTCAACAAAAACACTAACAACCCGTGAAGCATAGGATACACAAAAATTGCATAATAATAGAGTAAAAGTGAACCAAAACACAAATTTTATCAAGTAAACTAGGTTCAAAAAAACCCTAAAATCATATCAAATAGCAAGTTATCAATTAGAAACGTAATAGATTAGTTAAATTAAACTCGTTGATTAGATTAGAGATAGTTATGTTGCTTGTAGGTTTGAATTGCGTATGAACAGACATACTTTTGGTGTACTTTGTGAGATGATAAGCGATATTGGTGGATTGAGAGGGACTAGAAATATGAGCTTACAAGAGATTGTAGCTATGTTTTTGTATACATTATCTCATCATAAAAAGAATAGGTCGATAGGGCATTACTTTTATTGGAGTGGAGAAAGTGTTAGTAGACAATTTAACCTTTGCCTCCTTGCGGTTCTAAAGCTATATCATCGATCACTTGCTTAAAAAACCTACACTATTATAGAAGATTGCGAGGATAGTAGATGGAAATGCTTCCAAGTATATTTAACACTATTAAAATATAATAAAAAAATGTTCATTCTTTAATTGATTAAAAGCAATGTTCTACATACATTCTATGTAAATAATCTTGTGTATTTTCTTTATAATTGTAGAATTGCTTAGGAGCTCTAGATGGTACATTTATTGAAGTTCATGATCCAAATGAGGAGAGAGGAAGGTATCGAACAAGGAAGGGAAACCTTGCAATGAATGTTTTAGGTGTTTGTACACCTAAAATGGAATTTGTTTTTGTCTTACCTGGATGGGAAGGCTCTGCACATGATGGTCATGTTTTACGAGATGCAATTTCGAGGCTTAATGGTTTAAAGGTGCCTCAAGGTAAACCATGTGATTAAAATTAACCATATATAACGATTTTCTTTAATACAATTAATAATGACTTAAATATATTCTATGGATTTTATTTCAAGGTTGTTACTTTTTGGTAGATCCTCACTACACTAATTGTGAGGAGTTTCTTGCACCATATAGAGGGCATCATTATCACTTGAAAGAATGGGGGGATCAAGTACCAGTAAGTGTTGAGGAATACTTCAACATGAAACATTCCAAAGCTAGGAATTTAATTGAGAGAACTTTTGGTTTGTTGAAGGGAAGGTGGGCAATTCTTAGAAGCCCTTCTTTTTTTTTCAACTCGTACTCAATGTCGCATTGTTACACTGTGTGCTTTATTGCACAATCTAATTCGAAAGCACATGCCCACAAATTTTAAGGTTGATGAGTCATCAAATGAGAGTGAGGATGAGAATGAGGATATTGGTGATAATGTTGAATACATTACTCAAGTTCAACCATCACATGCTTGGATCGGCTTAAGGAATAATATAGTGCAAACTTTATTTAATGCTCGGAGAGCTAGGCAAAATAACGAAACATGATCAATTTTTTTTATGAATGACTCTCTTTAGTCTTGTCCTTGTGTTTGGTGTTTTATGAGACGATTTTTGTATTTTATGATTTTTTGTTTTCTCGTCTTTGTATTTGAAGCGTGATATTTTTATTTAACTTTTAATTTCTTTCATTATGTGATACAATATTGCTTCCTATATATCATAAATAAAATATTTGGTTATGTATTCTTACTTAATTGATTAATAAGGATGGCTGCAAATGGTCAAAGTTCTCAAGGTGGAAGAGGAAAGAATAAGAGCTTCTGGAAGAAAGAGGAGGAAGAAGCTTTAATTGATTGTTTGTTGGAGTTAAGTTGTGACCAACAATGGAAAGGAGAAGGAGGGTTTAAGGATGGATACTTGAATTAGTTGGAGCTTATGCTGAACACTATGTTTCCCAGATGTGGTTTAAAAGTCATTTCTCACATTGAAATCAAAGTTCAAATGGTTCAAAGATAAGTATGCAATAGTTGCTGAAATGGTGAACAAGACATTCGGGTATCAGTGGGATGAGGAAACTAGTACAATACAATGTGAGAGACAAGCTTATGATGATTTTTGCAAGGTAACCAATTTCATTTTTTAAAATCTTGCATTTTACTTAATCTAATATATAACTAATATGTTTTAGACTCACCCTAAAGCTGGAGGATTATGGAAGACTCCTTTCCTTATCTTAGCAAGCTAGATGACGTATTTGGTGCTGATAGAGCTAATGGTCTTGCTTCTAAGCTGCTTGAGGACTCTATCCATAACCTTGAAAAAGACGTTGTTCGCCTTGATAATGATAGTGACGATGAAGATTTATCTTTTACTCGTTCACCTGGTTTAGCTACAAATTTTACTCAATTCTAACCTCCTCTTGCTAAGAGAATGAAAAAGGAAAAGACTCCAATGATTAATGAGAAAAAGAGAGCTACTCGATTTGAAAATTTATCATCTGTTAACAATATGGCAATTGGGTTCACTTGTTTTATAAAAGATATGAATAATCATCTTGCTACTATTGCGTCTGCCATGAGTACAATACAAGAGCGTGAACAAGAGATTGTTGAACAAAAGAGAAGGCTATTATCTGAGATTGGAAGTTTGCCTGGAATTAACCAAGCTGAAATTATAAGAGCTGCTAGTTTGTTTTCATCAAATCCTAGCCAAATGGAGATTTTCTTTTCAAGTCCTAATGATGAATGGAAGAAGGAGGTGGTGCTCGACCTTTTGAGTCATAATGCTTGATATAATCTGCATATTTTCATGACAATTTGCCAAATGTGATGGTTTATGAATTTGTTTTCTTTGAATAAACGTTCACTTGGAATTTTAAACAAGGTTTTTGAGTGTTAGTTTTGATAATAAATAATTTTTTCAAATATTGTGATAATTTTGAATGTGTTTGTTTAAAATTCAACTCTTGCGTTGTAGTTTTTGTTCTTAGAGAATTGGTTTTGCTAGTTTCAATCATAATCTATATAAATATAATCAGCGGCGGATCTTGAAAACTTTTCTTTCAGGGGCCGAATTAAATGTTCAATTCATAATTTTTTTTAATCATGTCTTAAATACCTTAATGTATATGTAAATACTTAAATAACTCTTTTTCATTATTAATTGTAAATTATTGTTAATCTAATGCATTTCAAAATAATTCTTTAAAAATATTTCATATCTTATGTAATTTACAAAAATGAAAATAATACATATAGGAAAAAAAAAAGATTTGGGAGTATGATGTATGAATAATATATAACCTATAATCGATCATGTGTATTGAAGCTTGTGCCCAATCAACATATAGAATAGGATTTTTTTTTTTTTTTTTTTTTTTTTTTTTTTTTTTTTTTTTTTTGGTGTTTAGAGAGTCACAAGGGCGGGGGTGAGAATAAATTATGAATTGTATTTTGATGTTTGGGCCTTAGCAAATGCAATAGAATATGGGGTGAGTTCGTTACTTGGGCTTTTTAGTTTCACGGATAAGTAATAGTTTTAATTCTTTTTAGCTAAACTTTTAAGGGGAGCCAAACCCCAGTCCGTCCCTTAAAAGATCCATCTTTGTATATAATGATATAGTTAAAATAAAGCATGGTATTTCCCCTAAAATAATTAAATCTATTATTAATTAAAATTGATTAAAATAGAGATTAATTAAAAAAATGGAGTTGATTCTTCATTCCAATAATTTTCAAACCAAACATGTGAGACGATTAGATTTCATTCTAGAATTGAACCAAACACATGGTATTAAGTATCAAGTTCCAACTTATAATCTTGTACCACCATAACACCATGCCTGATTTCAAACCCATACCACTTTCTGAACCGTGGTTTAGTACTTTCACGGTTTCACCCGTCAAACATGGGTTTTCTCTTTTTAAAACAAATCCAAAGTACTTTGATAAGTTTGATTAGTGTTTTTCTCAGTCTCACTAACCACCACCACCTCTTCACCTTCACTATCAACTCTGTCTTCCTTCATTTCCGACTAATGTTGATACGAATCCTTGCTAGAGCAAAAATTCCATTTTTATCCCCTCTAATTCTTCATCAATTGAACAAAACATTTCCCATTAATCAGCCTTTAACCTCATTGTTAAACCCTAATTTATCGAGCTTGGGTTCGAATGATATAGCAAAACCAACAAATGGGTTTTCCTTAATTTTGGAGAGAGAATACCACGATGGTAGACCAAGAGGTCCTCTTTGGAGGGGTAAGAAGTTAATTGGCAAAGAGGCTCTTTTTGTAATTCTGGGTTTGAAGAGGTTTAAAGATGATGAAGAGAAGCTTGATAAATTTGTCAAAAATCATGTGTTGAGGCTTCTGAAGATGGATATGATTGCTGTTCTTTCTGAACTTCAGCGACAAGATGAGGTTTCTTTGGCCCTCAAGGTTTGTCTTTCGATTTCGAATTCTATTTTTATGTGTAAATTCTTGATCTTTATTGTTTGTTTGCGCATGATGGTGAATTTTGTCTGGTTATTTGCGCTTGATTCTGATGTTTGTGTTTTTATTTTTGCATGATTCTTGAATCATTTATTCTTTTATATGCAATTATTTAAAAAATTATCATTTAGTTGTGGGTCATTATTAAGTAGTTGGGTTGCAAAATCGTAATTACTCGTGATACAATTTGCTTACAAGCATCTTAGGATGATATTATTGCTTCAAATTCTAATAATGGCTAGAGGTGGGAAATTTTGTATTTCCTATTTTAACTTAGGCCCCCTTTGGTTTGATGTAAAACATTTTCAATGAGAATTAGTTTTCATGAAAACATATTTTTAAGGAAATGTACAGTTGCAAATTAATTTTCTTTTGTTTGGTTGCTTACTAGAAAAGTTCAAGAAAAATAAAAAATAGGAGTGGTAAATATGGTTTCTCTTGTTTTGTAAAGAAATGTGTTTTCCATCATTAAGGATGCAATTTTCCACCATTGGGAAAATTGTTTTCCAACCTCTTCACAAACCAAATAAAGAAAAATGGAAACAAATGGGAAAATTGTTTTCCATTGAAACATTTTACATTAAACCAAACGGGGCCTTAGTGTAGTTGTACAGTGGCCTGTATAGTTTGGGACATCCTTTAATTGAGATGCGACCTATTGAAGGTTTGTTTAGATTTATATTTGTAAATATGTTTTGTGCTACAATTTAATCATATAAAAACATCTAGTGCTAAAAAGTTCTATCCAAATTATTCATTTGTCACTTTGTTTCGTTCGGTTATAAGTTGTATGGCTTTTGGCGTTTGTTCATTGTTTGGGAAACAAATCCTATATAAATAGAATGAGTTTTTTTTTTTTTTTTTTTTTTTTTTTTTTTTTTTTTTTTTTTGCAGCCACTAAACAAAACCAGAATAATATTTAGGCCCTTTTTCTAGCTTACATAGCTAGATTCTGACTCTAAAGACCACTACTCTAGGAACATAATATTGTTAGACATAAGTACTTAAACAAATATACATATTACTAACAAACTTTTTGCGAGGATGGTAGGAGAGGACCGATAGTGGTGGTGGTGGTGGGGGGGGGGGATATTCTTTCGCTTCATACCTGCACAATACAAACCTGCACCAACTAACCTATCTTTAAACTTACTCTTATATTTGGAAGATGATCTTGGCATAGTTTATCAGATGAAAGGTTGGCGGAGTTCTTTAATTTCAATCAGATTTCCTTCTTCTTTGTTGTCCAATAATAAACATATTGTCTCGTCCATTACTAGGTTTGCTAGCTGCGTCCTGTGGCGTATCATCCTGGGACTCTTCGATCTCCCTCTGCTTCGCTTTTTTCTTGAGGATGGCCTCTGTCTTATTAGATATTTTTCTCATTGAATGCTTCCATCGGAGCAATCTCACATGAGCTTTCGCTTGATGTGACGATTGATGAACTTGAGACCGCTTAATTCATGATTGCGGGGGGCCTCCATCAAGATTTCCAATTTATTGGGGAAGGTACGAACCTTCATAAAAGAGTTTGTATGAGGATGATAAAGATTTTCATACGCATGGAAGGTTTTCTTGTGTTGACAAAGGTAGTCTTCCCAATTTGTTTGCCTTTGTGAGACAAGGCACGTGATATTGGCTCCTTCACATTATCAATGTCTATGCTCTCCTCTATGGGAAGATCCCCTTCATTACCACTTCTAGACGAGGTTTCGCTCCCTTCCTTGATTTTGTCTGCAAAGTCCTAGTCTTGGGTCTTAGAGCTTAATTCCTTCCCCTCTGATGGTTCACAATCCTGAACTTCTGAAGGTATGGGGTTCCTTCTTATACTTTGATCACTGAAACCAACTTTTGGCTCATCTAATAGGGCTCTTTTCACTGAGGACAACTCCCTGGCTATAACTTTGTTATTTGGTTCCAATAGCCTTGCCTTATCCATGTCTTCGTAAGCCCTATCAAACATCCTAGACTTCAATAAGACTATTCCTCTTCTTTATAGGGCCTTCACATTTCTCTTGTCAATCCCCAACACCATAGGGCAATAGGCAATGGCTTTGCCCAGTTCATTTAGTTTAATAGCACAAGCTGCCAAATTAAAATGTAATATTATGGCTAAATCCATAAACAATGGATTATTTTCACAAGCACTGAAAATCATCACAAATTGTAGTTACTAATACACAAGCACTTGATTGCTTTGTTATACTTCACAAACACAGTACCAATTACATTCCTCTTGAAGGGAGAATTCTCCTCTTCTTGGAGGAAAGTCGCATAAGGGATAGCTTCATCCAGGCTAGAAGTTTTTTCAAATAATCTTCAACATTGTAATCATCTTCCAAATTTCTAGATGATAACACACAATGGAAGCCAAACTTAATTCCTCCTCACACTGCTCCAGTTGAACCATACTGAACAATACACTAAAATACTAGCGAAACACAAGAAAATGAGAATGAAATCACCCCAACATCAATATAGATAAGCTAGCGCATACTACTTAAAGAAGACCCATTAAGAGGCAGAACAAAGAACACCACTTAACTTTTACAGAGAAGACAATCCCATCGGAGCTAAATTGGAGAGTAAGCCTCTGCAAACAGGCTCTTGAGCGGGGTATAATCGTCTTCTAGGCGTTGAAACAGCTGGATTGCCGGCAAGGGCAGCAACCCTAGGGGCTGGGGTGGCTGCAGGCAAGCTGCCATTGCCTGAAGCAGATGGATTTTATTGGTTTGGGGTAGTTGGGGGATGAGAGAAAAGTTATTGTAATTATTAATGGAATGAGTATTAGTGACTAGAATCTTCTGGATTGTGCAATCTTATATTCCCTCCATTTTTTGATACTTCTTCCATTTATCAATAATTGCAACAAGTTGACTTGTAACGAGTTAATAATAGAGTCAACTTGCTGTTTGTATTAAGAATCGAAGCAAGTATATGGTGACTTTTATACAAGGAACCTGTGGAGCATTTCAGGTGGGTTTAGCTGAAAGTCAAAAGTGGTGACTTGAGTTAGAAAACTGGTTGGTAGAATTACTATTTGCTAGGGTCTGTTTCTAGCTTTGGTAATTTATTCAACTCTGAGAAGCACGGATGATCATTCTGATAAAGTCTGCCGTTCTTTGTCTGTCAAATTCTTGTTGCAACTTCGAGAAGTATCTTGACTTCCCTGACCCCAGTTTTTTGATCCTACCTTTCTTTTGGCTATGAATAATGATGACTTTAGTGTGAGTCTTTTCTTCGAATGTCTCTTTACCACATTATGAAGAGTGAACAAGAAATGACTTTAAACAGGTTGTTCCTCCTTCTTGGCACAATTTTATCAAAGCTCAATAAAGAATCATTGACTTTCTTTGAGATCCTGAATTGATATATTTGAAATTTGAAGTACTATTATTCCAAAAAAAAAAAAAAATACCTAATAGTTATTTTGTACGGGCCAAACTTTTTTTGAGTGCTCTATGGCTGCCTTAAACTTCTGTTAATTTCAATGCTTTAATTGTGAGTAGTTTTGTGCTATTACAAGACACTAAAGTCTAGTGGTTTATGAGGGAATTGATTTTTTCCCATTTTGTGATTTTTTCATTTCTAATATTTAGAAAAGTAGAGTTTTGCAAGTATAATATTTAAGATGCTGACAGCTATATGCTAATTTATTGCTTTAAGCTTAGTCCAAATAAATGTTACAAAATTTGCAGATGCTCTGCAAATCTGTGTCCCTCTTGTAGTGGTAGGTATGTGGGAGTTTAGGGTAGGAATGGGACTTGATTTCAATTGGATGAAACTCCCCTCCCATATTAGTTTCTTGGGTTTGGGGATAAAGCTTGGAAACGGCTGTATGCCTTCTTTATTAAAAATAGTTACATTTACCTCTTACAACCACACAACGCATTGATCTTCTTTTTTTTTTTTTTTTTTCCTTAAATGAATTCCCAGCAACAAATCCCATTCCATATCCCAGTCTCTATCGTCCAAATTCCCATTCCTACAAACGCCTCGTCTATGTAGGGAAATGACTACTCTCCTTCTAGGAAGTTTGCTCTTTCCATACAACTAGCAGTGTTTATTTCATTCTGTGTGCCCTACTCAATCATGTATACAAATGGCCATTGGAACCCTTTTGAAAAGAACTTTGTCTCCCCAATAGCTATCTTAACGGTTATCTTCTTGAATCAGGTGTTTAGAGTAATTCAAAAACAGGACTGGTATCATCCTGATACCTATCTTTATAAGGACTTGATTATTGCAATGGCGAGATCTAAAAGAATGGATGACGTGACAACACTTTGGGAAGACATGAAAAAAGAGAAGTTGTTTCCTGATTCTCAAACATACACTGAAGTCATCAGAGGCTTCTTAAGAGATGGTTCCCCTGCAGATGCTATGAACATCTACGAGGACATGCTGAAGGCTCCAGAACTTCCAGCAGAACTGCCATTTAGGATATTAATGAAAGGTCTTTTGCCACATCCTCTTTTGAGAAACAAAGTTAAGAAGGATTTTGAGGAACTATTTCCCGAGCATTCTGTGTATGATCCACCTCAAGAGATATTCGGAATGCGATGAGGTTTGTAACTTGGATACTTATTTTGCTGTCAGATCTATTTCTCCTTTTTCCTTTGTACAAAATGTCATATTGTGGTTTGTGGTCTTTTGTATATGTCATGCAGCAGAGAGCTTGATATTGTTGCTGTTGTGTTTGCTTGTGTGCTCTTTGTGCTATATAACTGTTGAAGTGTTGACAATATGCGTGGTATAGCTCTTTGTGCTATATAACTGTTGAAATGTTGGATTCTGTTTGACAATATGTGTGGTATGCTGGTGGTAAATTGGTAACTGACCTTGAAACACTGGTATGCCAAATACTTGTATATATAAATTTTCATATCCGGAATAGATAAAATTTGTAAAAGCACTGAGGTAATAATAAATATTGAGAGTTTTTAGTTCTATGCATAGGTAACATAACTACTACGGAGTAATTTAGATACTTTATGATGTGTGAAACAAATTAGATAAGGATTGCCTTGTAACGTGGGCAACTTATTTGCTACTTTTAGGAAATTTTGAGTCGAGAGTTGATTTCAAATTGGTGTAATATATGTGTGGGATAAGCTACAGGGAAGGAAGTTTTTTTTTTTTTTTTTTTTTTTTTGTTTGTGCGTAGTAGGCTGTTAAAAGCATTAATTTTGTTTGTGTAAGGAAGCTTGATGCGTATGCTTAAGAGATTTAAACATGCACAAGGATAATTCAAGCCTAATTCTCTATAGGATTCGTCCACCAAGAATTAAACAAGAAGACAAGTAGATTAAGTAAGTTAAAGGTCACGCCACCCCTTCATTAATCAACTTAAACAAAGCTTAAAGAACTTAATCACCAGCTTTAAAAAACGAATGTTTTGATTGCAAAACAAACAAATACTTTGATTTTATAATCTGAAAAAAATTTAAATCTCCAAAGTCATGAAATTACAACTACTTATAGACTAAAAACTAACTAATTCTAAGTCTAATAGGACTAGGACAAGCCCCTAGCCTTTAGCCCCAAGTAACCCAAATAGAATAGGAAAACTAGTTCTTCTTAGATTAGGAAACTAATTCTAATTCTACTTAGTCTAAAATTCCTAAAATAAATAAAATTAATCCGAAGTGCTTAAACCAAGAAAAAACCCTTTCAAGTGAAAGTTATAAACTTGCAAGCAAAAACTAATTAAATAGCCCTAAGTAGAGTAAGTAGAGTGATGCGGAACTTGAGCTTGTACTAGACACCAAGAACCGCCAATTTGTAGCTTCTAATGAGTTAATGTTCAAGTTTAGGTTTTCCTTGTAAAGATTTAACAAACTCTCGAAATTCTCATCAATATCCGGACCTCCGACTTGTTTTTAAAACTAACTAAGGCTTTGATTGTTTGATTGAAATTTTTTTCACGGAAAATCATTAAACAATTTTGATGGAAAGCGTGATTGTGAAAAGAGTTTTCCTTTGTTTGTTTGATTATAGGAAAACTTATGGGAAAAAGAAATATGGAAGTAAAAAAGGAGGGGAAGGATAAAGGAGAGAAATAGAGAAGTGAGGAGTAATGTGGAAAATGTGGCATGCGCCACATACATTCTTTACATAAGGTTTTTAGTTTTCCTTCTACAAAAAGTAACTTTTCACCTATGACAGATCGATTTCCACCCTTCAACAAAACAAGCAAATGAAAATGGAGAAATGAATGAACATAATCATTTTCTAGTCTAATAATTTCCATTAAAACAAATGGAGTCTAAGTGTAAAATCTTGTTGAGTGAAATTGTGGTGGCAAGGGTGTTTATGATGTGAATTAACAAAACAAGCAAGGAAAAATTGATGGGAATAATCCCAACTTTGCTCGATTCGTCCAAAATAATCCTAACTTTCGATTATTTTTTAATAATCCGAACTTTGATATGATTTTTCTTTTAATGGTCCCAACCGGTCACCTAACTTGTTATAACAAGTTAGATTACACGCGTCGGCACCTGATTAGTCCCAAAAAAAAATTTAAAAGAAAAAATAAAAAAAATTATTAATTAAATGATTTAAAAAAATCACCCCAGCAGCCTCGAACACCCTATCCGCCGCTCACCTCACTAGCTGAGCCCCTGCCTCCAACTCCGGCCATGCCCAGCCCTCTCCCCCCGCGCCGGCGTCGTGCCGCCCCTCCCTCTGAACCACCAACCCTCCTCCCTCACGAAACCCTTTAAAACCAACAACCCACCATTCCACCAACAAGCTAAAGTCAGCCTCCACTGTTCTTCGCCTCTCCCTCGCTTTCCTCCCACGCGCAGCCCAACGTCGGCTTCTTGTTCTCTGCCTTGGCTCATCCAACCGCGCCGTTGATTCTTCTGCTTTAGCCACCGATCTTGGACGCCGCCTTGGTTACGGTTTTGCTTACGGTGGTTGTGGTAGGGATGGGTGTTCGGCCGCGGAGGTAGGGTGTTGGATGTGGATGGGTTGGTGTTGGTGGCTCAGGGCCTCAGGGGAGGTAGGTGGTGGAGGTGGCTGGGTTGTTAACTTGGTGTTAGGTGGCTGGCGTGGTTGCACTTTGCAACATTAATTGCTGTTTTTTTTTTTTTTTTTTTTTTTTTTTTTTTTTTTTTGCATTTTTATTTAGTTTTAAACTAGTTCATTAACTGTTAATTTTTTTATAAAAGAGTTAATTTTTTCTTTTTAAAAGAGTTAATTTTCTCTTTTTTTTTAAAGATTAAAAGAGTTAATTAAGTGTTAATTAGTAACAAATAATCATGTTTTCAAAAAAAAATTAAAATTAAATCTTATTTTTGACCAATCACGTGGTGACACTTGCAAATTAAACCTAAAAAAAAAAATTACCTACTTAACCGATTACCTGGGACTATTAGAAGCAATATCATATTAAAGTTCGGATTATTACAAAATAATCGAAAGTTGGGATTATTCCTGTCAATTTTTCCGACAAGTAAAAGGAAATGGAGAAATGAATGAAAAAAAAAAAATCATTTTCTACTCGAACAATTTCTACCAAAACAAAAAGAGCCTAAGTGTATCTTGTTGTGTAAAGTGGTGGCAAGGGTGTTTATGCTGTGAATCAAACTTGCTTGTCTCAAAAGTCTCTCCTTGGTTCAAATAGAGCTCGACTCTAGAATGGCTTTGAAAATGATTGGCTATTTGTTATTAAGTTTTATTTTTTTTATTAGTTAAAGTTTAAAAAGAGTGCTCCAATAGTCCAATGATGTGACTCGAATAAAATAACATTAGGAAATGTGTACCTTGGCACCCTACAAGGAAATGAATTTATAAAGGCCCAATCGGAAACTTGGTCCAAGTAAAATTATGATGATGCATGAGACAGACCATGACTAAAAGCCACTCGGCCCACTTATCAAACATGTTTTTTGTTGATGCGATATTGCAACATTATTCTAACATCCACTTATCAAACATGTACTGACTCATTTCAGGAAAAGTAAATTGTTGATAGCCTTTTAGGGAAGATGATACACATACATCTTGGATGTATATGGCTTCCACATACATGAGGCCTGATATTGTGACGACTCTGCACTTGAGTTTTTTGATAAGCTAAAAACAAACTTAGTTTTGGTTGGGAGGGGGGGGGGGTGTTTTACTTTTTGCTTCTTAGCACCAGATTGAGTAATTGAGAGCTAAAATTCCATATAAAATTTCACTTACACTTTTGCCTTAACATTTTAGGATTCTTGACTCTGAAAAGCGAATCACCCATTACTTTCCATGAGTTTATAGAATTATTTGAACAATTTTTTTTTATTACCGTCGACAACCTTTAATCAAGTTTCTAGTTTCTCTTATTCCTTCCTATTTCTTTAATTTATTCTCTCTCTAGGTTTATTTGGAAGATGAATTTGTGAGAATTCGTGGCTAAATTTTGCCTAAGGGGTTGATGTGGGGATGCTGGTGAAGCTATCCCAAATAGGATTTTTCATAGGATCTTAAGGATGGATCAGAAGAAAGTCATGATTTTTATTTGGGTGATGCAATTCAAACACCATTGCTGTCTGAGAGAAGGAAATTGAGGAAAAATATCTACAGATTAGAGAAGTACTTGTATATTATTGGAGCAAAAAAAAATACCCACTCTCCTACATCGTATTCTCTCTCCACCCAGAACCCTATTTTTTCTTGTAACTCCTTTGACCCTATGCTTTCAATAGTTGTCAATTGCAGCTAATCCATTTGATGTTAGTTACCCCTTTGTTTTATGTTCTTCATAATTTTATTTGTGCGTGATTTTCATGTAAATTTTTAGGTTTTTGAGGTTTAATTTCAGTTTTTTGATAAATTAGAAAAATCAGTCAGAATCCACTTTTAAAAGTTGGGTTTTTGTCAAAAGCCACCTTCAAATTTTACTTATTTATTTATTTCTGTATGAAGTCAGAAGACCACCTTTGCCTATATAGGTCCGGATTTCACCCTTCGACTCACTATTTCTGACATTGACTTCGCTCAACTCTTATTTTTTCTCATTCATTGGCTGGACTACCACCTCTTCTTCCCTCTCCACCACCACTATTTCCCTTTCTCCCACTTCCATTGCCACTTCCATTGCCACTGCCCTTCACACTACCCCTTTCTCTCTCTTCTCCTTTTTTATTTTTATTACCATTTATTTATTTATTTATTTATTTATTTTTATCTCTATCTCTTTTAATTCTAATTGTTTGGTGGGTTTTCTATTGTTTGAGGTTGTTTTTAGGGTAAGTGTTAGTTTTCAAGTTTTCCAAGTTGTTTAGGGAGTGGGTGAACTTGATTTCGAAGTAGATGACATGGTTTTCTTGATGTTGTTTTGGAGGTTAGGGTTTTTTATTGGAGTGAGTTTTGGAGGTAGGTGGGTGGTTATGGTGGTGGTTAAGTGGTTTAAAGGGAGTTAGGGGGTTTTCTACGGTGTGTAATTGATTTTAGAGGTGTTTGGGTGGATTTTGGAGATGTTTGGTGGGGCGACATATGTGGGTCGGGTGGTGGTGCAGTTGAATAGGGTGTTTTTAGTGTGTCACGTGCACGTGAGTGGTCAACACCAGAAAAGATATTCCGGAATTCGGCATAAGGTGCTAATTCACAAAAAAAAATTGAAGGTGGCTTCTTATGGAATTAAAAAAAAAATATATTAAAAGGTGGTTTTTGACAAAACCCTATTTTAAAAGGTGGTTTTTGACGAAAGTTCCGATTAATTATCTAGATCTTTCAAACTAGGGGTCTACATAATTTGGGTTTAGCTCGAATTTTGTAGAAAATCAAAGATTTATGAGATCGAATTTATCAAATTAGATTTACAATTGATACAGGTTTAGCTCGATTGGTCAGATACTTATTATTTGTTCTTCGTAATTTGATTCTCTTCCTTCATCACTAATTTTCCTATCCTCAAACTGTTGACCTATATCCTCCAAGCTTTTCCTTTTACTTCCCGGCATAACAAAAAAGAAACACTTTCCCCAACACCATTATTCCGCCTAATTTAAAGAACATTACCTAATCTTTGTTGTAATACCCAGAAATGCCATCGCCATATTCCCATTGACTAACCTATTTACAGAAACCGCCAAACTCATTCCTTGGGCCCAAAGTCTCATCGCCAAAAAAAAAAAAAAAAAAAAAAAAAATCAGCACAAACAGCGATCACGCTCACAACAAAAACACAATGGTCATGAAACATGGACCCAGGGCCCAAAAATTATAGGGACACAACCATACCAGCGGAGCTCAATAAGAGAAGAGGTCTCCTACAAAATCTCTCTTAGAAAACAGCTGAGATAATAACAAAGGTAGCTTTTGGCTGCTCCCATGATAGCTTAATGTTACAAGGTGCAGGCTATGTATTATATACTAGTCTTCACAACAAAGTATAGTATTGTACCCACTAGATAAATGAGAACACAGTCTCTTATGGTAACCAACTAGACTTGGCAGCATTATCTTCAACAATCACTTGTAACAGATGCATTAGTATATAAATATTAATGTTCAGAAGACTATGAATATCTGTGTATCTGCTGCAGTGGGTAAGGTGGCATCCAAAAGAATGTTTCAGTATTTTGCTTTTGCATGGACTCTAACCTGGCTTTAGATCTTTCACATCTAACAACTTCTGTTTTATTAAGTACCTTCAGAGTCTCCAACGTTTTTGATTGAACATTTTGCGCTTAACACTCTCAAATTTGATTTGAGCCTAACTTTATCAGTCGATCAGCATGGCTTTGGTTAATATCTTCTCATTGGGTTTTAGTTAAGGCGTTCTGATTGGCACTGCTCTTTTGGTTAAGTTCTTTCTGATATGCGCTACATTGGTTAATAACTTGTTAGCTGTTTCTCTTAATTATGTTGGGGTATTGGATTTCTTGATTTATTTTTGTGTCTTAGATTCTCTTTAGGTTTACTCTTTTGTTTCTTTCCCTTTTTTTACCCCTGAAGGCTAAAGTTTACTTGAATTAAATAAGAGAATTTGTTCAGCTTTGCATCATCTCAAAGTCTGATTACCCTATTTGTATGCTATGATGTCAAAATAAAAAGCTTGTGTTGGTTATATGTATAGTTATGTTCCAAGATGAAAAATTATACAGTGGCCTTTTAAAGCCACTAGGTGATCAACTTTCTTATACAAGGCACAATCTTCCAATGAATGCATATGGGGAGCCTGTTAAAAGTCGTGTACTTGCAGTTTTTAGTTAATTATCTGTCGAAGAGATTGGTATTTTATTCCACAATATCTTGGTGTAACACTAGTAAGGTTAGGGACTTGAACTCATGAAAGAACTTGAATAAGGATTCGGGCAGGATCTGCATTCCCAAACAAGTTTTATGGGCTGTTACTTGAGTTAACTTTTTTTTTTTTTTTTTTTTTTTTTTATAATTAATATAAATCAATTTCCTTGTTTGGGTTCATATTTGTTGATTTTCTGGTTTGTCTCAATGCTTGCCCCTTATCTAATTCTCGTACTCTCTTTGCTGCAGAATGCTACTACGTATATTGTTATTCTAATTGTCAGTACTTATTACACCCTAAGTCATGTTCTTCTTCACCTGTAACCTTGCCTTTTGATCTATTCAATTGTCGTTGGTTGACACAATTCGATTAATTATCGGGCATATGCAGGGCATATCTATTTTCCTATTTTTCAATGATCCTGAATCTATTTTGGGTTGGATCAGATTTTGACTGAAGTGAAGAAGGCTAAAAAAGCCATGAACAAAATTGGCTTCGGAGGTACAGTGAAAGCAAGCGTCGGGTCTTCATGAGAGGATTATAATTTTGGCTCTGGGAGGAGCATGATTGCCTGACAAGGGTCTGCATTTGTTGTTTTTCTGTATGAACATCCTGTTAGCTGCTCCTGTTTTTGCCCTATAGGTGATCTGCATATCTCTCAGTGGTGGGGATCTTGAGAAAATTTCTTATGGAGCTGAAAATATTTTAGTCTTTGTATTAACAAAACCATAGAAGTAGAAAGTTATTAGAAGGTACAAGAATATGTTTTTTAAAATTCAATGAAGGATATATGACAAAATTTTACTCCTATCTTTAGAGTTATTCATTTTTACAAGGTCAAACTTTGCGACTTTTACATAAATAAATAATTATTTTTATGTAAATATGAAAGCGTAAATTATTAATTGCAAAATTTGTTAAATTTTTTAATGATGATTATTTTTAACTATCAATTTCTTGATCTTTTTCATATTAAATTGAACATTGTAATGATTTTCCTAATATAAAAATAAAATAAAATAAAAAATTGAACATTGTAATGATCAAGGAATTGAAGAATACAAATGGATTAATATCATACAGATAAAAAAAAAATGTAAACAGGGATGTGAAACTAGAGCAAAATAAATAAATTTGTAAGTTCTCCTAAAAAAAAAAAAAATTGTAAGATTATATGGCTTCACACTGTTTTGAAAAAAAAAAAAGGAAATATAAACATAACTCCCTGCATTTACAATAATCTTTCCATTTGAAGTCTTTTGATTAATAAAAATGAGAGGGACATTTTGTAAATTTATCTCTATATATATGAAAAAAGTTTTTGGGTCTAATTTGATTTGTCATAGTTAGTACAATATTAATATCCAATATTTATATTTTTTGCCTGTAGATTAATTTTTAAAATAATCACTCTTCGCTGCTAGTCCGACCCAATACCGCATTGGTAACTTGTATTGTTAAATTGTATACATGTAGTTAGAGGTGTTAAAAACTGGCTCGACCGGCCCGGTCCGAAATTGACTTGGAAAGATATCTGATTTATATTTCAATCATATGGATACAATAATTTAGCATGACTCATGTTTTAAATTAGACCCAATCCGACTCGAACTCACCAAACCTGATCCGGACACTCGAATTGACACCTCTACATGTAGTGCTTAGGCATAATTTTACGAATGGAACACAAACAAAGCAGAGCAGAACAACTCAAAAGAACAGGCCTAAAACAGTTTTGGCAATTAATTTAATAAAATTACGTGATTACTTTGGTATATCCCGGTGTGGTGGAGAACTAGTCAACATTTATGTACATAATGTGCACAGCTTGAAACTTTATCTGGTTCAGATTTTAGTTTTGTTATACTAGCTAGCCCTATATGCACACAAACTAAGAAAAGTTCCATGAACAACTTAACATATTTCATGTATAATTCACCAACAAAATATTTTGCCCCTTATTGAATTATTAATTCGATTTATTTGATAATTCGATTTTTCATTTTCACGACCACTATATTAAAATTTTCCGTCCGCCAAAAGAATTATGACTTGAGAAGAAAAAAAATTATTGGTATGGTTGTGGATATAATTTAGAAAAATGATAAAACCGTGTCGTTGTGAATACTTTTTATAGGTGCCCCTCTCAAAAGGTGGTCCTTGAGTCGCCGCTCTAATCATGTTTTCTCTTGTGGAATATTTTTTTGTAGGTGTCGTATTCTGTTTTTATGCTAAGCATGTAATGTATGATAGTATATTAATATGATATGCTTTTCCTTTTATTGTTATTGTTATTGTAAACAATTGTAAATATAAAAAAAGAAATATCTAAATTTTCTATAATTCAATCTAAAGAATGTATAAGAATTTGCTATAATAGCGAATATTTTTTCCTTCAAGGCTTTATTTATTTTTGGAAAATTTTAAATTGTGATAAAAAGGGGTAGTTTTTCATATTTTTGTTTGGATCTCGTGTTGTTGTGTTTTTCTTGGGGAAATTTGGCTATTCCATTATTTTGACACCAACTTTTTCTTTCCTTCTTCACTTATCAATGATACTTGGTTTTTCATTTTTCACATTTGTTAGGAAATAGATGAGGAATGATTGATTTAGCTTATGTTTGATATGTGTGGAACATAGACAACAACATATAAAACATAAATTTGAGAAATAAAGTAGAAAATGGATGAGATGAACACACATATATACGTGGTTTGGTCAACAAAACCTACGTCCATGGGATAAGGGATAGTATATTCTTATTAGCTTTCGTGGAGGATAAACAAGAGAGATAACAAAAGGAGATACAACACTCTCCATCTCACAAAATCTCTCAAAAGTGAAGTAACATAACGGCTTGAATTGGATAGGCTAATTAATCAATATTTAACACTTCTAATTATCCACCCAACAACTCCTTATATAACATAAGGAAACCCTAAAGAAATCCTAAATTATTCCCCAAGAAATATCATTAGTAGCCGTCATAAGCAAACTTGAAATTAGGAAATAAAACACGCTCGGCTGATCTCGATGAAGCATGGGCGTGCTGGTTATAGGCACAGACGTGCTGCTGGGCGCGGTTCAATTCCAGTTTCGACAGTCTTTAGTAAAACGACCCTAACTTTCCCGATTCTCATTGGAATTGGGCATATGACCTATCGTTGGAAAGCTGTTGAAACAAGCTATAACCTACAACTTGAATCACCTCAATATCACTTCTGAATTGAGAGATATGTGCGTTTGAAATTGACCCTTTGTCATTGTATTGGATTTCAAGTCATATTTAACAACATTCTCGCTCCGAGAATTTACTTTAATACTATCTTTGTTTCATTTATTTTTACTACCTTTCGAAATACATGTCTCATTTTGATGTACCTTTACACTTATATTCAAATACACAACTTTGAGCAATCTATTTAGTGCTTCATATAAAGATTAAACGTAATCATGTGGCAATTTGCATTGTTAGATTCACATCAATAATGTATAGTTTATAAATTTTAAATTTTTATCATTTACACTTATTGATAATTAAAAATATTATTGATCAAAGTTTCGAATTGGTAAACATGCTAGTCTAATTGAGACATACAGTACACTTTATTTAGAAACCGAAGGAAGTAACATATTTTGTTATGTCCATTTTATAATTTGGCGTAACTCGAGTGAACCCAAATTAACAACTACTTTTGTTTCTTAAAAAATGCATTATACTTTGACCATTACTCCCTCCGTTTCGCATTAGTTGCAACAGTAGGCTTGACTCATAATTTAAGAAAATTGTAGACTAGGCTTATAGGCTTATAATATAAAGTATTGTTAGTAAGATATAGAAATAATAAAAAAAAAAGTTGTGTGGGTGGGGTTGGTAGGAAAGTGAAATAATAAAATATTTGTAAAAGCGGGGTTAGTGGGAGAGAGAAATTATAAAATAATGGTGGGTCCTTTTCAAATATGTAGTGTTGCTGTAACACCCTAGAAATTTATTTCCTTTAAAATACCTGTTTTGCCTTTTTTAAAATACGAAATAGGAAAATCTAAGACATTACCGCCACCATCAAAACGGCTAAGGCAATTATGAAAGACACACAGCGGAAGACTATATTTAAAACAATTCAAAACAAGTAAACTTAAAAGTCAAACCAAAAGAAAGTAAAGTCAAACCAAAGTCAAACAAAGTCAAACTGCAACTTGGAACCGTTATAGGCCCTATTAAAAACTAAAACAATACTAAAAAAAGTTTTGCATTAGTCTCACAAGCATAATATAATATAATAATCAAAGCAATAAACCACATCATGGAAACTAAGTATGATTCGCTCTTCACTCATGCCCATCATGAATATGCTTCATCACCTGAAAAGCTCCTCTTTACTTGTCTCCACTACTCACCATTAGAAATGGGTCGTTGTAGGGCCAAGATAAAGACAAGGTCATACGAACATACAATCAGCAAAGCTGAGTACATAAGCGTAAACAAAACACACTAACATGCTTTCATCCTATCATCACACAACTTACTTTGTTGCACCTGTTTACAAGCATACAACATACACAATGACCAACTATTATACCACTAGAATATTTATTTAACCTGATTACGCATCGAACAGGTTTCCCCCCTAACCTGCCCCAATAAAGAGTTACTAACACAGGAGCTAACCATGCCAGTATAAAGAACCACTCGTAAGTGGCGGAATTCCTGTGCATAATAAAAAGGAATGTACAGCGTCCTGTACTCCAGTAGAAGTTATGGTTAAAAATAAAACCCCATAACTCCCCCCATATGTTCACACTCAAGGTATATACGTTCCAAGAGTTTTGGTGCGCAATCTCTTTCACTTTACGTTGTTTACATAATTTTAGACTTGGTGATAACTCTCAAACCATAGCACAATCAATCATTATAATCATTCAAGCAATCAGACATACCAATTTAATTCTTGAATAATTATTGACCACATAATCTTTAATGTTGAACCCTTTTTAATCTACCTCGGTGTCAAAGACACCTTAAACACATAACGCGCCATAAATCCTATCCCTCGGTGTTGGAAACACCTTAAGTGCACTAAGGCACCAAAAATATAATTTAACCCTCGTGTACATAGACACTTTAATAGCTCATTCCTCATACTTATAACATCAATAAAAATTATATGAACCATAATAAAATTCCCGTTTGATATTCCAAACTCCATTAAACATTTAGTTTAATTAAACATGCCTTCAATCATGCTAATAATAAAAGTGTGGTTCATATCCAACATGCCAATATAATTAATTCCAATCATCAATTCACCACAAACAATCCATACTTCACAAATCAATCATCAAAATCAATCCAATCAATACCTATCATGATACTACCTTGGAATTAAATAAATCAAGCCTAGCATGCTTCTATATACTCAAATAATTACCAAGTACGCGAACATACCTTGAATATGATCTCAAAATCGCCACAACTACACGAAATCACTCACTTGGAATTCTCCTACAACCCAAAATTACAAAGAGACATTAATACCTATCCAATATAAATTTCCAGCAATATATACACTATTTAAATCACATATAAACCCTCTAAAACAAGCTGAAAATTAATTTAAAACCCTTACTTTTATTCCCAATTAATGGGTAATTAAAAATCCTTTCAAGAAACATAATTATAACTTTATATAAAAATTCCAGTTTTATTAAAACATGTACAATTGCTATAATTATGTTTTAAAACATCAAATTTAATAGTTTCAATCACCTACAATCAATTTCCATCAATAATAATAAATTTAGAAACCTAGGGTTTTCAATTTAGGATTTTTTAATTCAAAAACTTAATTTGAAAATTATATACATAATACTTATAATCAAACATCATAAAAATCATCACACAACCCAAAAACAATAATTAAAACAAGGCTAGATTAGGATTAAAACAAAAGATTTTTTTTTATTTTTTTTTGGTTCGAATATACGCACGGCAAGGGAGAGGAGAGGACGGCCGCCGCCGCCTCCCTCCGATGGCTGTTACCAGCGAGTGCTGGCGGTGGCCAGCCGGTGATGGTGGTGGCAGCCGGCCACCCTTATGAGGTGTGTGTGTGTCGTGTGATGTGATGTGGGGGGAAATTAAATGAGAGAAAAATAAGAGGAGGGAGAGAGAGAGAGAGTTACCTTTGGGTATTCTCCACCTTGGGCAAAGTTCAATTTGCCCATGTGATGGATATTTATACCCTCTCTCTAAAACCCCTCCTAAGTTTAAATTCCCTTCATACCCTTAATGATCCCTTCTCCTATTCAAACTAGTATTTTGACTTTCTTTAAAAAAAACCCCATCGACTTTAAAATTTCGTTTTATAAAATATATGCCCCAAAGTTTCCAAATCATGAAATAAAATATTTTAAAACTACCAATTAAATAAAAGTAAACCTTTTAATTAAAATAAACTTTTTAACTAAATAAAATACCATAAATAATTCATTTTGAATTATTTAAATACTTTATGGAATACGTATTTAAATTAAAATACGTATAAAAATACGGGGTATTACAATCTAACCCCCTTAAAAGAAGTTTCGGGACAAAATTCAAACTTTTTCCTCACCTGTATAATATTGTTGTACTCTTTTGTCATACTTTTACCTTTAATGTCTCATTGAAATCAAAATTACTCGAAATAACCGTTAAAAATGTGCAAAAAGAACAAAAATATTGAAAATATAGGGAAAAAGCGCGAAATTCTACCGCATTCTACCCCCCTTAAAGAAAACAAGTTACGTCCCTGTAACTCAACATACCTTAAACAACTCGGGATATTTCTTTTTCATCTCATCCTTAGCTTCCCAAGTTGCTTCCTCATACGCTTGGTTAGACCATAGCACTTTAATAATCTTAACTTCCTTATTGCGTGTACTACGCACTTTACTGTCAATGATCTTTCTTTTTCTTAAAGAAAACGAGTTACGTCCCCGTAACTCAACATACCTTAAATAACTCGGGATATTTCTTTTTCATCTCATCCTCAGCTTCCCAAGTTGCTTCCTCATACTCTTGGTTAGACCATAGCACTTTAATAATCTTAACTTCCTTATTGCGTGTACTACACACTTTACTGTCAAGGATCTTGACAGGTCTTTCCTCATAAGTTAAGCTTTGATCTATTTCAATGGTTTCAGGTTGTAGCGCATGTGACTTATCAGGGATATACCTCCTTAACTGAGATACATGAAATACATCATGTACTTTACTTAGCTCCATATGTAAGGCCAACCTATAAGCTACTTTGCCTATCCTTTGCAAAATTTCATATAGACCAATATACTTTGGGCTAAGCTTTATTTTCTTCCCAAATCTCATTACACCTTTCATTGGTGACACCTTTCAACAATACCTTGTCACCAACTTCAAACTCTTCCTCTCTATGCTTCAAATCCGCGTAACTCTTTTGGCGATCTTATGCCGCTTGAATCTTAGCTTGAATCTCCTTTACTTGTTTAACTGTGTCTTCAATCATTTGAGGCCCTAATATCATTGTTTCACTTATGTCATTCCAACAAATTGGGTTGCGATATTTCCTTCCATATAATGCCTCAAATGGAGCCATGCCAATGCTTGCGTGGTAGCTATTATTATAGGAAAATTCAATTAAGTCCTAGCTATCTTCCCATCCTCCTTGGAAGTCTATGACACAAGCTCTCAACATGTCTTCCAAGGTCTGAATAGTTCTCTCAGTTTGCCCATTTGTGGCAAGGTGAAATGTTGTACTCATCTTTAGTGTTGTACCAAAGTTTTCCTGCACACTCTTCCAGAACTTTGAAAGATACCTAGAATCTCTATTAGACACAATATCTTTTGGAACTCCATGTAACCTCACAACATTTTTGGTGTAAGCTTTTGCAAGTTGCTCCATCTTCCAAGTCTCCTTCATTGGTATGAACACTGCAGATTTTGCAAGTCTATCCACCACTACCCAAATGGTGTCATTTCCACTCTTTGACTTTGGGAGGCAAGTCACAAATTCCATTGAAATACAATCCCACTTCCATCCAGGAACTTTTAATGATTGCACAATTCCCTTGCGGTCTCTTGTGCTCTATTTTAACCTTTTGACAAGTTATACATTTTGCAACAAATTTCACAACTTCATTCTTCATTCTCGGCCACCAATACATCTTTTTCAAGTCCTTGTATAGCTTGTCCCCTCCTGGGTGTACTGAGTATGGTGTATTGTGACCCTCTTCCATCAACTTTCTCTTTACCTCCTCACATTTTTGTGGTACACACCAACAACCTTTGTATCTTAAGCTTCCATCTTCATGAATTTTGAAATCTATAGCCTTTCCTTGTTTTATTTTCTCGCGAATCATATCCAACTTGACATCTTCAACTTGGTTTTCCCTTATCTCATCAAATATTGTTGGTTGAATGCTTATGTTCGCAAGTATGCCTGCTCGCACTCCCCATTCTACCACTTCTAGATTCATTTTCCTCATTTCTCTATAACTCATCAGCCACTATCAAAGTGTTTAGTCCATGACTGGTTTTACGACTTAGAGCGTCTGCAACTACATTTGCTTTCCCTTCATGATATTGTATGTCTAAGTCATAACCCGTCGTATATTCTAACCATCTCCTTTGGCGTGAGTTTAAATCTCTTTGAGTTAAAATGTATTTTAAGCTCTTATGGTTTGTGTAAATCCTACATTTCACTCCATACAAGTAGTGCCTCCAAATCTTTAGTGCAAAAATGATTGCTGATTAGGGTAAAATTACCCATGACAAATGGACCAATCCGGACCTGCCACGTGTCCACCACGTGGGCCAATCAGCGTTCGCCACTTGTCACCCTGAGAGGTCCAACATGGACTAATTAGGCCACGCCATGTGGCCCATAATCTGCCAACCTGGAAAACGGTCATCACAGGCCCGATTCCCGAGGTAAGCCCAATCAGACCTAGGTTTACCAATTAACCTAGGATTGGGCACAGATCCCAAGGCTATAAATACATCAATTAGCCTTCAATAAAGGAACATTCAGAATTAATTACTCTCACCAAGAGAAGCCTAAACACATGTGCATACTAAACGCTAGACTAAACTTAGCATTATTTGCACTTCCTGTCCTAGAGGAACCAGATCACCCTTTTACTTTTCGCACCTTTTTACTCCACCTACAAGTACTAACTTGATCTTCGGAGGCGGAGCTCCCACCACCCGGAGTCTCCGTTGTTTTGCAGGTACAGGCACACAGATCCAGTCCCGTAATTGTAACTCTCCCGCAGGACACCAGAAAACCTTGAAACATTTTGGCGTCGTCTGTGGGGAGAGTACTTTCGAGATGGAATCACAGTCTGTACCGATTCTACGTGAGAAGCGGCCCCTGGACGACCCCCTGGTTTAGACGGACCAAGATACTGACAATGAAATTGAAGTCGAGACTCATACGGCCTCTGACGGGACCTTAAGAGCTTGACGCACCCGTCCCACTGAAAGGAGGGAACGGGAGGACTGTCTGGTTGGATCTAGTAAACCAGCCGGCCAGCCGCTTGATCATCAACAGGTGGCTGGGGGATCTGCCCCCATCACTAGAAACGAACTCATGACCTTCATGAAGGGGGAGAAGACCCTCCCAATCTGGGAGGAAGAAGCTTGTAACGGATCGGGAGGCGACTCCTTACCCTAAGCTTAGGGCGAGGGAGGAAACCAGTGATCGCCCTAACTAAGTACCACTTTCCCTCACCAGGGAAGAGAAAGCCCATCTGTCATGTTCAGCCGGACGGGTCAAAGAGAACATACTCTGATGCTCGAATGTTGCTTGAGCAGAAGAAGAATGACCGACTGTCAGAGTCGGCCTCTACGTCTGATTTTCAAGACAGCCTACATAATACCTCCCTGAGGTATTCAAAATCAAATTATGAGAGCCAGACGCCCGAAGCCTCCTCTCGTTCTGGTTCCCAGATGCATTAGGCGGCCCCGTATGTGCCTCCTCAACCATACGTCCCGCAGTCCCAATATTTCATGCAGCCTACTCTTTTTGGAGGACAAGCGACAAGGAATGTCCAGCCTTTGGACTGGCAACTTAGGTTGCATAAACTTGGAGAACAACCATCCGCCTTCTCTAAGGAAATAATAGAGGCCGCTCAGCCGGCCAAAGTAAAAAATGTGTTGGTAGGGGCATATGATGGCACTACCAACCCAGAAAATCACATGATGGCATACACCAACCTTATGTACTTCCAAGGGTTGGATGACGCCACATGGTGCAAGTGTTTCCCGGCCACATTGAAGGGAGTTGCCCAGCAATGGTTTGGCAACTTGCCGGCCGGGTGTATTAACAATTTCAAGACCCTCGCCTACTTGTTCACATCAAACTTCGCAATGAACATTCCTGCTAAGAAGACCACCCTTGATCTGGGGGCCATACAACAGGGAGAGAAGGAGGGACTGCGCTCTTACATCAAAAGGTTAAATCTGATGAGAATTCAGATACAAGGACTACCTGATGAAGTAGCCTATACAGACTTTTTCAAAGGTCTGAAGGACGGGTCGAACTTCAAATTCGACCTCGTCAGAAAGAGGGTGACCACCCTCCAAGAAGCAATGATGGAGGCGGACGCCTACATTCAGGCGACAGACCTCTATAATTTTGGAAACTAGTCGGACCACAAAAAGTCCAACAAAAGAGAAAGCTTACCAAAGTAGTCGACCAATAAGGAAGAGAAAAAGAGAAAAGAAGTCTGGGCGCACTCCTCTGAACAGCCGTCCCAGAAGAATAAGAAGGAATTTAAACCATACTCCCCCAAGTATGAGTTTAACAAGGATAGCCATGCCATCCTCAATGAAATAAAGGACCAGATCTCAATTGAGAAGCCGGCCTCCATGAAGGGTTCTGTTAGCAATCGGAACCAAAGTAAATACTGTCACTACCATGAGGATATTGGCCATTAAACCAATGAATGTATCAGCCTCAAGCGCCTTCTGGACCGCTTGGCAGACAAAGGAGATCTCGACTCCTATGTCAAGAAGTCTAAGGGGAATCCACCCCCCAAACAGAAACAGGCGGCCAAAAGGAAGCAACGGTCAGCCGACAGCTCTGACACTGACGAAGCGCCCATTTATACCATAACAGGCGGCTTCGCAGGAGGTGGCCCTACTATACGGGCCACCAAAGATAACATCAGGCGTCTGGATGTTAACTCCGTCGAGCAAGGACAGACCTCCTAAAGTTCATTTCCTGAGGTTGTAATCACCGAGGAAGACTTGGGAGGTGTTAGGGGGCCGCATGACGACCCTATTGTAATTGAATGCAAGGTGGCCAACCAAAGAGTTGGTCGAATCCTTATTGATACTGGAAGCTCATCTGACCTCATCAGTTATCGATGCTTGACCAAGCTCAAATACAAGACTGAGAGCATGCAACCTGTCTCCCATCCTTTAGTAGGATTCGAAGGAGGAGTCGTCCACCCAGTTGGACGAGTGGATCTCCCTGTCCGCCTGGGTGAGAAGCGGGAGGACCGTCACATGGTGGTCCGATTCCTTGTAGTTCAAGAGTTGTCGGCCTACAATATGATCCTAGGGCGCCCAACCCTCAATGAATCTAAAGTTGTTATCATCCCATCTCTCATGCTCCTCAAGTTTGAGAGAGATAATGGATCAGTCGGCTCCCTACGGGGAGACCAGAAGATTGCCAGAGAGTGTTACCTCTCTGATATAAAACCCACTATGGCGGCTGCTGGCCAAAGTGGAGGGAAAGCTGACTTTGAACAAATCAAGGATGTTACGCCTGCCCAAGTAGTAGGCGGCAAGAAGAGAAAGGCCGCCCACCTGGGGGCCGAAAGAAAGGAAAAACAATAGCAATCTCTGGCTGAGGAGCGGTCAGACGAGTTACGCCCTCACCCGGCTGGTGAGCATGTGGACGTCACCCTGGACGACTCATGTCCTGACCGAACTGTTAAGGTTAGGACGACTGCTCTTGCTGCGCTTGGTGATGATTTTCACCAACTCCTGAAGGAATTCAAGGATATCTTCGCATTTGAAGTACATGAGATGCCAGGTATAAGTCCATACCTGGCAGTACATAAGCTGGCTGTGGATCCTAAAAAGAAGCCGGTCAGAAAAAAGAAAAGGAACCATGGCAAAGAAAGAAGCCAGGCGGCTGCCGCCGAGGTTAAAAAGTTACTTGATGCTGGGTTCATTCGGCAATGTTATTTCCCTGACTGGGTCACTAATGTTGTCTTAGTAAAGAAGTCGAATGGTACCTGGCGCATGTGTGTGGACTACACGGACTTAAACAAGGCATGCCCCAAAGACAGTTATCCATTGCCCAAGCTCGACAGTCTAGTCGACTCTACAGCCGGCCATGCCTTGAT